CTGCATTGGGAGGCAGGTTTTTTACCACTTGGGGCACGTGGGAAGCCCCAAGTTTTTTATTCTTTTTCATTATAGGTTATTACAAGATATTGAATATAGCTCCCTGTGCTATATCATAGCTCCTTATTTATCTATTTTACATATGGTTAGTGATTTTTTTGAGAATTTTATAATATCACTTGAATTGATGGAAGACTTACTGGAGTCCCATAGAACTGAATTTTTATCTTAGTAACTTATTTACATGTAAGGAATGAAAATTAAAATACTTGGGATTATCCTCAATGGTGTTTCTAGTATAATCTCAGCTTTTTTTTTAGGCATCCTGTGGTAACTTATGCTGACATACTAGGGGCAAAGCATAGTTGAATGAAAATTCAGATTAAAATCGTGTTTTACATGAAGGTTTCAGCTGAAATAGGGACACTGCTGGATTTCTGCTAAAGCTGTCCGTATTTAGCAGCTGGACAATCACAAGGGCTTCTCTTGTGGCTCAGCTGGTAAAGAATCTGAGGAGACCTGAGTTTGATCCCTGGGTTGGGAAGATCCCCTGGAGAAGGAAAAGGCTACCCACTCCAGTAATCTGGCCTGGAGAATTCCATGGACTGTGTAGTCCATCGGGTCGCAAAGAGTCGGACACGACTGAGCGACTTTCACTTGCACTCACTAATCACCGAGTCAGAGCAAGCCAGTCAGGTGAACATCTTGCTTTCTGCCAGCAGGTGGCAGTAGCATACTAGAAATGTTTATGACGATTGGCACTGAGCCCACACACAGAGCCTTAAACTGCTATGATCGTGTGTTGGTACCTTGTGAAAAGTACAGCAAGCCATTTTCTGGATTTCGAGATATAAAGCGGACCCCAACCTTGATATGTTCCCCATATTTACATATATTTGAATGACTGCCCCGGTCTTTTTCTCTGCCCTGGGTGAGGTCTTTTGGGATTTCCCCTCTCTCTCCCCTTCTGGCTTGCTATTGTAGCTCTTGTTTCTTTCTGGGAGTAACTTCACCCTTACAAAAATACCCACTTCTCTCCCATGCTTCAGTGTGGCATCCATTCTTTTTCACGAGGGAGAGCGACCCAGTGTGAACCGACAGAGTAGTGAGAGGAAGAGAGAGCATGGAGGCAGATCTGGACCTCACTTCCGGCTCTACTGTGGCAACTACCACAAACACCACGTGTCCTTTTTTCCTTTTGTTAGTTTTATTCACTCTCTTGTTTACCATTGTTGTCAGCAGTGAAGACTTTGAGAAAAACCCAGAGCTGTGTGCTTGCTTCCGGGCCGTAAAACATAGGGAAAATTCTGAGACTAGATTCTGTTCTGTCTTTGCGGAACCAGGGAAGGGAGCAGGTGAGACTAATCACAAAGAGTGGTGGGGACAGGAAAGCAGCAGGCAGCCTAGGTTCTGGGACTGGATCAGTGAAAAAAGGGCTAAGTGAGATCCACCCCACCCAGTGGGAGTGGTATCCCCGGGACTTTCCACTGGCCAGACCCAGCCTCCCAGCGCCTCATGTCTCACCACCACTTTCCCGACTACAGCGATTCCCAAGAAAGGCTGGTGCGAGAGAGTGAGGCAAAAAGGGGGGAAAGCCTGACCCTTTTCTAGCTGCTTTAGATGGAGTTATCATCATTCGAAGTAGAAATCTATGCAGAGAGTCTACTGAAATACTGTCAGATGAGATAGTTAAGCCCTGTACTGTCGTTATAATGTACAGTTTTCTTGAGTTTTCCAGCCCAACCCAGAATGTGCCAAAGCCCCATCCACCGTGTCCATTCTGTGAGATAAGGTTATATTGAGTTGCAAACAACATTCACACATTGAAAACTGCTTCTGTTGTATTACATCACACATACAGAACGTGTTAAACTCAAAAGACATTTCAAATAGGCTGTATAAAAGTTAAAAGCAATATTTGAAAGACAGATTGTGTTTTGGTATAGTGATATATATTAGCATATTATATTTGTGTATAATGATATTAATTTGTGCATTAGATTTATTTGGCTAAGTAAAATGTGTCTTTGAGGATCTATTTATCATAATGGGCAGTGACTTTAAGATAATTTTCTTCTTTTGTTGCAGTAGTCAAATGTTATTTTTTCCCCAATAACCAGTGTTTTATTCTGACATAGTGATCTCATGTTATATTGGGAAAATTAAAGAAATTCTTTTGTAGTATTTGACAAGCCTAGAAGTTAGAATGCTGCATGGAAAGTAGTAAAATACACATTAACATTTGCTTTTAATTGTTGTAACCCTTGTATCAATTTGAGTAGAACATTGAGGATGCGGTAGTTATTTAGTCATGGAAAGGAAAAATAAGACTTGTTTACCAAATTGAAAAGAAATTATGAACGCGATTTTCTCAAAATTACATTTCTACTCAAATGCACTCTTCTACTTCGAGTTATTTTCCTAATTATATTTTATATGCTATGATTTTTTTCTAAGTTTAAGCCAATCTGACCCAGAGGCAGGCTATCTTAGATGTTTCCCTAGTGACTTGCATTAAGCACTATTTTAAAAAAATTTTTATTGAAATATAGTTGATTTACAATGTTGTGTTAGTTTCAAGTGTATAGCAAAGTGATTCAGTTATACATATAGATACATATTCTTTTTCATATTCTTTCCCATTGAGGTTTATCACAGGATATTGAATATAGTGCTGTATAGTAAGACCTTGTTGTTGATCTACTTTATATATAGTAGTTTGTATCTGCTAATCCAAACTCCTAATTTATCCTTTCCCCACCTTGTTACCCCTTTAGTAACCATAAGTTTATTTGTTTTCTATGTGAGTTTGTTTTGTAAACAAGGTCATTTGTATCATATTTTTGATTCCACATATATGTGATATATGATATTTGTCTTTCTCTATACGATTTACTTCACTTAGTATTATAATTTCTAAGTCCAAAGGACTATTTCTTACAGAAGTTCTCCCTGTGTTATTCAAGTCAACTCAGCCCCCACCCTCCTTTTATTCATGATTTAGACCTCAGAGATGGCCCATGCCATTGCTGTGTTCCACATCAAGCATCAGATGGTACTGATTTCCAACAGACTTGGGTATGAACCCCAACTTAGCTATTTACTTGCTTTCACTCATCCTTCCTGAGTCTTATGTTTCTTGTCTGTAAAATGAAGATAACACCTGTGTGAAAATGTTGTAGTGAATATTAAACAAGAACAAATGCATGCAAAGACTTCGCATGAAGCAATAGCCTTATAAACCTCAATATTTAAGCTTCACGATTTTAGTAGGAAGTAGGTTTTATCTCTGTTTTACAGATGAGTCAGCTGAGGTTGGTAACTGATCCAGGGTCACCAAATTTGTTTTATGATTTTAAGTCCAGGGCACTTCAATCCCCTTGGCTGCTTTTGGACCAACACTGCAGAAACTGATAAAACAGGCAGCACTGATGGTTAGGTGCAACCACTCAGATGAGCTCCAGCTGCCGTGAAGGTGGCAATTCCCAGTTCTTTTTCCTCTGACATCCCTTTAATTCTGTGTGATTCAAGGTTTCTGTTTAACAACTGAAACTCCGTTCTTTTCTCTCCTGCTCACAAAAGCCCAGGGAGAGGGAGAGTGTTTATAGTAGGGTTAACCTGCAACCCACGCCACCCCAACTCCCTAGCATGTTATCACTGATAGTGAGTTTCTTTGAACACAATACAACTTATTCCAACATGCCGTAGTCAGAAAGTGCTGCGTAAGATGTATTCTAGGGAGAATAAATAGGTCATTTGGTAGTACAGGGTTCCTGTTGGAGAGTGATGAGAAGATTGGTGGGGTCAGTGGGAGTCTAAAAAGTTAAGAATTGATCTCTCAGGCAATTGGATGTTTTTAAGTAGGAAAGCAGCAGGAGTAAAGTGGTGGTCTGCAGGGAGTTTCAGAAACCAGAAAGCCTGGAAGCCAAGGGATCCACTGAACTATTGAAGTGAACCAGACCGAATGAGATGAAGGCCTGAACTAAGTCAGTGGCAGTGGGAATGGAAAGGAATGAACAGGTACAAGAAGGCTTGTGATAGATTAGATATGCATGGGCAAGCAAGGAAGGAGAGGGGTCAAGTGATAAAGCAGATTTCCTTCTTTAATTCTATTTTGCAGAAATGTGAACTATAATGATCTTGCAGCCCTAGGACTCAGAATCCAGATGGAGGAAAGGAGAAAATCCAGAATGTGCTGAAGGGCAGGGAAAACCCAAGGTTACACATTGGCCACATTGGCAGGACATGGTTCCTAAGAGGTTTTTTTTTTTTTTTGGCCCCACCACTTGGCATGTGGGATCTTAGTTCCCCAACCATGGATGGAACCTATACCCCCTGCCGGGGAAGCTTGGAGTCTTAACCACTGGACTGCCAGGGAATTCCCTACAGTCCTTTTTTTATTTTTGGCCGAGTTATTTGGGTAACCTGCTGCATGTTTTCAGATCCTAGGCTAAGTGACTTTGTGATTAGTCATAGAGACATGCTGCTGTCTGAATTTAGGACTTGATTCTGGAACATTGCAAGTGATGTTCTGGTGATAGAGAGCACTTGGTGAGTTATTCTCTTTGGCATCTCGCCAGCCAGTAACTAAATGTTTGCAGGGACTCAGAAAAGACTTTCCAAACCTGACATTAAGATCATCTGATAGATTGTACACCCCATGACTCTGGGTATAGGCTTCCTTAAGGGCAGAGATTTTTGTTTTCTTCACAGCTGTATTCCCAACAGAGACCAGAACCTGTCACTTAGTAGATGCTCAATAAATAATTGTTGGATGAGGAAACGAAGCCAAGGGTCACGAGTGCCTGGCTCACCACTGTACCCAGTGTTGCGTGCCATGCTGATGGAATTGAGTTGAAATGCGTTGGACAGCATTTGGGCTAGTGACACAAAATTTATTTGGTTTTATATGCTGTGAAATACAGGACAATCATGTTCAGTCGATATCTCTTTACATGGACTATTAAGCAATAACAAAACTATATTCGTCCTTTTGCCAGTGATGATCTGGAACGATTTATGGAAAATCAAGGTGCGTCCAGTCCAGGTATCCTCATTTTAACAACAAGCCTCAGCAAACCTTTCATGCGACTGGAAAAGTATGTTACACTCTTACAAGAGTTGGAACGGCACATGGAGGTAAGGGAAGGTGAACTGTTTTAAGCTCACATACAAAGTATGGATCTCTGCTATGGAGGCAGCAGCCAGTCTGCCTCCAAACTAGCCTTGGTGAGGAGTTCAGGAAAAATCGTTGTTTCAAAATTTGCTTGATCCAGTCTTCCCTCTTCCTGGGCTTTTAGTTTTCCTCTTTATGCAACAAGATAAAAAGGGGACTTTGACTTATTTTTATCAATTTTTTCTAGCTTTATTTTTGAGGTATGACTGATCAATAAAAACTGTATACATTTAGATTGTATAACGTAACTTTTAAAAGGTTTATAATGTGATTATTCATTATACACGTACTTTGTGAAATGATGACCATACAATCAAGTTAATTAGCACATCCACCACTTTTTTTTGTGTGAGAACTTTTAATGCCTTTTTTGTTTAGAAACTTTCAAGTATACAATTCAGTGTTATTAACTATAGTCACCATGCTGTACATTAGATCCCCCAGATTTACTCATCTAATAACTGAAAGATACTCACTCTTTATTATTAAATATTCATGGTCATTCTCCCTCCCCTCCCTTCTCCCAGCCTCGGTCTTGCTCACTGGTTGACTCAGATGGTGGTCCTACAGAGAGCTCTTTCACCAAGAAATCTTCTGTTGCTCTGATATATGAACCAACTTTCTTGTGGGAGATAAACAAAGCAAATCAGCATCAGAAAATGTGCAGAACTTTTTTTTTATTATTATAGACAGGAGCATTTATCCCTAGGTCACTGCGGACATTCAGCTTTCTGAGGCTAGATTACAGTGGAAGATTCTGGTATTTCTTGAAAGAAGAATAAATGGGTACACTCTCAGTTTCTTTCTTTATGCAGCCAGACATCTCCATCAAAGTCCCCTTGCATTTTTTGCCTCAAGAGCCCAAATCCTCTTATTAAAAGCCAGTCAACAGGGGTAGCTTCTTGAGTGGTTCTTGTGTGCTGGAGCCTGGGGGATGGGGTTGTGGGTGGGTGAGGGGGGCCTGGAGGCTGCATTTACCCTACTTGTTCTTCCTGTGTCTGGGGAAAGGTTTTGAGGTTTGAAAGGGTTTGAATATCTTTAAAGAAAAAGGTTGCACGCTGCCAGTCATGTCAGCATTTGTAAGGATTGAAAGTGTGTACTCTGAGCGAAACCACATTCTCAGGTTCTTTGACCTGCCAGAAATCTGCAGGCAGTGGGGAGCCAGTGAGTAATGCCAGCCAGAATGACATTTCAGTTAGAGCCCGGCAAGGTGTTGAGCCCTGGATGGCTTTCCAAAAGCTAAACTAATTTGCTGAATTGTTTGAGGTTGGCCCCTCCTTGTTTCTCACAAAAATTCAGAAATGAGCGGCCTCAGGTTCCATAACTGCTCAGTGCTGAAGTGCAAATATTAATACACACTTCACTGGAGGAGATAAAATCCCAGGTGCTCCTCCTGCCTGGATCCTCTGTTTTGGAGCCTGTTTCCACTCCTTCTCCATGTGCTGGTGGTCACCTGCCTTTGGCTGCCTTTCATTTCCCACTATGAGATTATACATACCCCAAGTATGAATTCACCATCTGGTAAGACACTTTATCCAGCTTTCTGATCACTGAGCATGGCTGCCAGCTCATGATAGAGTAACATTTGAACTTCGCAGTGGTCAGCTGATTTGGGGAAGGATGAGTTTATAAAGGAATACAACCTTTCTTTTCATAAGCAGTGCTGTTCTTGGCTTGGGTTAGACCCTTAGTCTACTCAGCTCTGTATTTTATCACCAGAGGCTGGTTGCACAGCAGATATCTTCCCATTACTCCTGCTGAAATTCAAAGCTTAGCTGAATCTCTCCCCAAGGAGTTCCACTTTCCTTTCATAAAGAGTTATGCAGGTGTGGACTCCTCAAAGCCAGTTTTTAAAAAATGGCTGTTTATTCGTTCTGAAGCTAATTTGTTTTTTGACTGTACTGCCCAGCTTGTGGGATCTTAGTTCCCCAACCAGGGACTGAACTGTTGCTGCCTGCCTTGGAAGCACAGAGTCTTAACCACTGGACCGCCAGGGAAGACCCTCAGAACCCTTTTTGAACCTGTTCACTTTTGGGGATTGTAAGTCCTGTGAAATTGCAGACCAAATAAGCTTGCTGAAGAAGGAGCACATGGTATGAAACGGAATTTTTTCCCATCTGCCAGGTTTAGTCTGCTGAAAGAAAATGGAGGGGGTTTAGCAGATGAGATTGGATTGATTTTTCTCTGAGCATCACTCAGTTTCCGCAGTTCCCTACCTCTTATCATTTACTAACAACACAACCTAATGATGACCCCAAATAATTATTATGTGTTATCCACAATATAGTAGCAAAAGGGGAAATGGAAACTCTTGCCTCAATAACCAAATATATGTTACCAAATATATAATGTATTCTGAACGGTCTTAATTTCTTTATCACCTAATCATTAGAGGTGCTGAGATTCCAAAGGCTCAAGTGCTGTCTTATTTTGTAATCTTGAAATTAGCATATAGCAAAACTGATTTTTTCTTTGAGGTACAGTTCTATGACTTTTACCCCATGTATAGATTTGAGTTACCACCATCACTGATGCAATACACAACAGTTCCATCATCCCTCAAAAATGCCCTCTTTTGATCTCTTTGCAGCCACACCTTCCTCCCACCCCACCCTCTGGCAACCACTGATTTGTTCTCCTTTAATACTGTTTTAAAATGTATTCTTTTGATAGGATACACATCCAGATCACCAGGATATTCTGAAAGCAATCATAGCATTCAAAACTCTCATGGTAGGTGATGCTCAAAAATTATTATTCTCTATTTCGTAGTCTTTGTTTCTAAAACAGTGACTTGTGTGTAATGTTTCTTTCCTTTTGCAAAGGTCTTTGGAGTGGAAACAGTAAGCTCGAGTGACCGTATTGCAGTGATTGTTTCATTTAATGTTGTCTTCCAAACATCATGCTTACCTGTGAAAGGTTGCCAGGCTGAGGGTGTAAAGTCCTCACATTTGAAGTCTCTGCCACATTAAGCATGGCTGTGTAGGTGGGGGGTTTCCTTTTGTGTCTTTGTCTTTACCCCTGTGTTGCTCACCTTACGTCTGTGCAACTCGTCCTTCACTGATTGGCATCAATACTGGATTCATCTACTTATGCCAAAAGGTGTGAGTCTATTCTTTGCATAGGAAAAAGAAGTCCTTCATCAAATCTAAAAGGAAAAAAAACCAGCTAAAATACAATTGCCGTATACAGATTGTTATCAAAGGTACCTTTATCTTAAATCTCGAGCATGATGGCTTAATGTCCTCTTGAAACCACTGATGTAAAACCACTTGGTGGCATTTTAGGAGGAAAGTAAATGTTATTTGGGGTCATTGATTAAGTTAAGCTTCATTTTAGACATTTCCATAATATTCCAAATGATGGAGATCAATGTTCAGTTACTGATTCTTGCTGTAAGATTATGATGCAACTTTCACTATCACCTCATTTTTGTTGCTGTTGAAAGATCTGTACCTGACATGTCCACAGTTAAATAGCAAGTTGAAGACCAGAGAGTAAGGTATCAGGTTAAATTTCCTGTGGAAGACAAAAAATGGTCAAATTTTGGCAGTTCGATATGGTTCAACCTAATAGAACAGGCCACTGAAACCTGTGGCATTTGTTATTGTTATTTGTGTCCCCTTTCTTTTTTCCTGTGTAGACTGAATATAACATGTCTCTTTTGAAAACAAATTAGTTCTAATCATTTTACATGTTGTACAAGTTACTTTGATGGTTATAGTATACTTATTCCCATTCCAGGTGCTTCAAAAATGTATCAATTTATTTCTTCAAGCTTCCATTTACCTGAAAGGAACAGCAGAGATTTTATAGAAAACACATCCCAAAATGCTATGACAGTCATTTGGAAACAGGACTATAACTAATCATATGCTTATTTTCATATTCAATTTGGATTGATTACTGTTAAATTATTTTAAGATAACTGCATTTTCTGAAACAGTGATATATATATAGTAACTATAGCCCACATATTGTTTCTTGGCTGGTATTTTCAATTTGTATTTGTGCAATTCAGTTGTATCTCTTTTTCTAATCCTTTTAAGAATAAAAATGAACTTAGTACTTTTTATAGCAACCTACTACTAGTCCCAAAACAAAGTGTAGGACGGTGCACATGTTTCATTATAAGATCAGTTTGAATCACTGTGGCATAAGGAGTTTAATTTTCTCTTTTTCAATAACTCTTGGAGTCATTTTATAAATTAAGATGTTATTTGGTTGGAAACTGAGTTAGAAAAATAAGATTGCTTTGTAACTCAAAGCACTCTTCATGCAAAGATAGACAAGATGGAGGGGAGCTGGAACCAATGGGGATGCCAAGCAGCAGATCTGAATGTACTGTCCCCGTTTGGTGTAATTCTGCTTATCTTCCCATACTCCTTGCGGGGAGGGAGAGGCAATCCCCTTCTACCAGTTTATCTTGATGTTTTGACAAAATGAGAAGTAGCTCTTCCTTACAAATGTCTGGGGACTCAAGGCTAGTGATTTAAGGTAGTAGACCTTTCTGTCTGTCCAGAATGGAGCTGGTGATGGGATTTGTGATGAAGAACAAGGACTCAGTGGAAATCTGAGAGTCAAGAACCACATCTTATTTTAGTCTTGTTTTAGCTCTGTTTTGGAAGAATTCCTATTCCATTATTTTCTGCTTTGGTTCTGTAGGGGCAGTGCCAAGATCTCAGAAAGAGAAAACAGCTGGAGCTGCAGATCCTTTCGGAACCTATTCAGGCATGGGAAGGGGACGATATTAAAACCTTGGGGAATGTGATCTTTATGTCACAAGTCATGGTGCAGTGTGGAACAAGTGAGGTAAGAGGTTTCACAGTTCAACACCACTTCTTCCATCTCTTATATGTTTCTTCCTTTATGTCTTCTCCCATCAAGATCAAACACTCGAACTTTCGCATCAGAAACTGAGGACCTCTTCTTTGCCCAGCCCTCTGCTTGGTGCTGTGGGAGGGAGTTAGGAGGAAAGAACAGCCATGATCTTGATCTCTCCCTTCAAAGTACTCATTAGAGACAGATGAATACCCAAACTGCAACTGGAAAACAAATCAAAATAGTTCATGACAGATTGTGACATCCCAGCAGTAGGTTCCACAGAAGTTCAGAGAGGGGAGAGAGCAAGGAAAGACTATATGGAGACAGGACTGGAGGAGGGGGCCATGAAGAGAAGAGGGGAAGATTTTGTAAGGAAGAGGTCCTTATTGTCTCAGGAGAGAGCAGGAACTTGGCGGCCTTTGTTCTTCAGGGCACTTGATTGGGAGCAGAGGAAACCTCCCAGGCAGAGTGCAAGAGTGAGCTGATTGTGAGGCAGGTTGTGAAGAATGTCGGATGTCAGGCAAGGGTAGTTCAGATGGATGCAACAGGCAGCAGGAAACCATGCCAGGCCTGAGAGGTAGAGAAACACAATGAAAGGGCTGTTTATGACACCATCTGGCAGCCGTGCTGCTCCTGCTAAGTCACTTCAGTCATGTCCGACTCTGTGCGACCCCATCCCTGGGATTCTCCAGGCAAGAACACACTGCTCCAGTGGGTTGCCGTTTCCTTCTGCAATGCATGAAAGTGAAAAGTGAAAGTGAAGTCGCTCAGTCGTGTCCGACTCTTCACGACCCCATGGACTGCAGCCTACCAGGCTCCTCCGCCCATGGGATTTTCCAGGCAAGAGTACTGGAGTGGGGTGCCATCGCCTTCTCTGATCTGGCAGCCGTACATGTCCACTCAACTGGAGGGGATGGGGCTGGAGACAGGCCAGCTGGGTTGGAAAGTGGTAAGTAAGTACCCCCCGCCCAAGAAGGTGATGGTGGAGAGAATGAAACTTAAGGGGCAAGTCTGAGACCTGTTTGGAAAGGAAAGCCTATAGGAAGTGGTGATCCAGGAGCTAGAAGAGATGACAGATGTCATTTCAGACCTGGTAACTTTAAGTGATGGTTGGTATCCAGATGGAGGTGACTTGTAGGCAGGTGTTGAAAAGGTATAGAAATGTGGGTAGGAGGTCAGAGTTAGAGGCAGAGGCTTACATGTCGCTGACAGATGTGCTTTCTTGGGAAGTAAATGTCCAGAGAGAAGCACAAAGGCCTGAAGATGGATTATGTCTTTTAGGAAGGGGGCGGGGTAGGGGAAGAAGGTTGATTATATCACCTGCATGATCTATTGGGTACTACAATCATCTTCTCCCTCCCCAAATATCTTCTTCTACTCCCTGACAGGTCTGTGTCAGAGATTCATTACTTTGGGTTAATGTGGTTACCAAAGAGGAAAGTGGGGAGGAATAAATTAAGCATTTGGGATTAACACATACCAACTACTATACATAAACTAGATCAACAACAAGATTCTACTGTATAGCACAGGGAACTATACTCAATATCTTGTAATAACCTATAATGGAAAAGAATCTGAAAAAATATATATCTGAATCACTTTGCCATACACTTGAAACATTGTAAATCAACTAGGCTTCAATAAAAAAACACTAGAAAAAAATAAGCAATCTCATGTAAAATGCAGATACCTTTTGGGAAAGTTAATGTAGCGACTCTAACAGTCTTTCATACCTTTGGGATAAACCCCTTGGGTGCCAGAAGAAGAAAGTGGAAGATAGAGGGAAATTAGGGGAGTGTGTTGTCATGGAAATTCCAGAAAGAACGTTTGAAAGCGGTCAGACTGCTGAGGGCTGCAGAAGGGTCAGAGTATGGAGACGGAGAAGCCATGGGATGTCACAAAAAGGCAGTGATTGATGACTTTGAGAGAGCGACAAGGGTGCAGTTAGGGAGGGATCAATGGGGAGAAAAAGAAAGCAGCCAGTAATTTGGCAATAAAACGTCAAGAAATAAAGCCACAGGGGGCAGATGAAAGCCTATGAAATGGACAGGAGATGTGCCTATGCTAAAGGCAGCAGAAAAAGCGAGTTAGACAGGAGAAGTGGCTGGAAGCAGGAGCAGGAGATAAGATGTCTGTAGAAGGAAGCCAACCAAGAGAAAGATGGGAGAGAATGCAGAACACTTGTTAGAAAAATTAGCCTTGAAACGTTGCTCTTCTCAAGCAGGAGGAAGGAGATGGAGCTGGGCTTGAGGATAATTGTAGGTAAAATGGCTGGATGTGCAAGCCCAGCGCCATCTTTGGCATTTACTCACTGTATATCTGCTCAAGGAGTTCAGAGAAGCATTTGTGTCCAAAATTTCCTTTTAGTGCCATTTAAAAAAGTATTTCCTTCTTTGTTTTATGTGAGTATAATAATTATTGTGTAGTTACTGATTAACAGTAATGTTAGGAAGAGTTTAACACATGTGTTAAGAGCAGCAGTCCCCAACCTTTTAGGCACCAGACATGGATTTTGGGGACGACAATTTTTCTACGAATGGGAGAGGGGTGGCAGGATGGTCTGGGGATGATTCAAACACATTACATGTATTGTGCACTTTATTTCTATTATTATTGCATCAGCTCCACTTCAGATCATCAGGCATTAGATCCCAGAGGTTGGGGACCCCTGTGTTAGAGCATAATAAATTTCTTATCACTTGAACCCCTTTATTTGGCTACTTTTCAAAGTAAAATCATTTTCATTTTGACAGCCTTAAGACTTTATTGTGCTGTGGTTGCATCATGGGCAAGAAGGCATTAACAGTGTGACTTTTCAGGCTTCATGCTTGGGAAATAAGCATGGTCATTTGTATTTAACTGTTAGGTATAGATGGACTTCCCAGGTGGTGCTAGTGGTAAAGAACCCGCCTGCCAATGCAGGAGATGGGGGTTCAATCCCTGGGTCAGAAAAGTCCCCTCAAAAGAAAATGGCAACCCATTCTGGTATTCTTGTCTGGAAAATTCCATGGACAGAAGAGCCTGGTGGGCTACATTTCACGGGGTCACAAAGAGTTGGACACAACTGAGCGACTGAGCACACACGTTGTGTATAGGAAGGAGACAGATAAACTGGATTTATATATATTTCAAAGTACAATTAAATGAGTTTTGTACTTTTTAAAATTTTTTTATTAGTTGGAGGCTAACTACTTTACAATATTGTAGTAGTCTTTGTCATACATTGACATGAATCAGCCATGGATTTACATGTATTCCCCATCCTGATCCCCCCTCCCACCTCCGTCTCCACCCGATCCCTCTGGGTCTTCCCAGTGCACCAGGTCCGAGCACTTGTCTCATGTATCCAACCTGGGCTGGTGATCTGTTTCACCCTAGATAATATACATGTTTTGATGCTGTTCTCTTGAAACATCCCACCCTCGCCTTCTCCCACAGAGTCCAAAAGTCTGTTCTTTACATCTGTGTCTCTTTTTCTGTTTTGCATATAGGGTTATCGTTACCATCTTTCTAAATTCCATATATATGTGTTAGTATACTGTAATGGTCTTTATCTTTCTGGCTTACTTCACTCTGTATAATGGGCTCCAGTTTCATCCATGAGTTTTGTACTTTTAAGTTGGGTATCTTTTTTAAAAAATCACTATTTGTGTTTCATTGCCTTATATAAGATCTATCTTACAAAAATTATTCCAGAAATTCTTTTTCTTTTTCCAGAAATTCTTAATAAACAAAATGTGCAATTTCTGTTTACATGTAATCTTTTTCCCTCCACTTCAGGAAAAAGAGGAGCGGTACCTCATGTTATTTTCAAGTGTTTTGATAATGTTATCTGCAAGTCCTCGGATGAGTGGCTTTATCTATCAGGTTAGTAGAGTTCATATAAAGCAACAAGACAGATAATGAAAACAGGTTTTCATCTAGATGCACTGTTTCCACTCTGGTATTAAGAGCCCCAGCCAGAAAAGGCAGGATGTTCTGACCCTTTGTATAATTAAACAATTTATGAGAGCAGATATTCCTTTGAACATAGACCTTTATGTTAGCATAATGAGTTTATCCTGGACCTCCACTGCTCTGGTTATGAGATAGGTCATAAATGTGTAAACAGAAATCAAAGTCTGCAACTAAGTAAATTAACAGCAGCATTTTCCAGGCCTAGATCATATCATTATTGCTGAGAAGATATAAAGCTGACACTTGCCTCTGTGATTGTCTTATTATAGTCACATTATATGACTCAGGTTTCTGAGATGAAGTCATTCAACTCCTTAGGAAATTCAGCTTCTTTCAGTTGACTCCCAAGACACTGCATATTATAAGTTATTGTTGCCTATCCTATCTTGGCCTAGCAATGACTAATTTTCATGAAATTTGAGTTTTTGCTTTGTTGACAGACTCTCCTGAAAATCTGTTAGAAGGGTAAACTGTGATTAAATCCTGACCTCATGATTTACAGTGTGTTAGCAAAACACAACCCACATTTTCCCGTTGCTTTCTTGTCTGATTAAAATTTAAAGCAGAGAAACACATTATCTATTGACAGACTGGAGAAATATGTCTCGCCAGAATTCAGCAGTGGTTCCTAAGAGGGTCAGAAAATCTAACAAAAACAGAGACATGTATAACCACAGAATTAATGGGGATGTTCTTTTTCTGATAGGGAAAAATACCAATAGCAGGAATGGTGGTGACTAGATTAGATGAAATTGAAGGGAATGATTCCACATTTGAAATCACAGGTAGGTAATTTTTTCTTCTTCAAATCCTTTTCAAAATGAAGTGGGGTTTAAATAAATAAATGCTATTATTATATATAGGGGGGATCGGGATGGGGAATACATGTAACTCCATGGCTGATTCATGTCAATGTATGACAAAACCCACTACAATATTGTAAAGTAATTAGCCTCCAACTAATAAAAATAAATGAAAAAAAATTTTTTTTAAATAAATGCTATTATTTTCTGTTATGTAGTCCATGAGCAAGTTTTTCATGGACATGGTAAAGTATATCCCATTTCCTTGGATAATTAGGTTACAGCAAGAGGAGGGAAGACTCGTGGTCATTCATGAGCCTCAACTTTGCTATTAGTTTCAATCTTCTCTTGCATAACAGCTAAGAAATAACAAGATGGACTGATGTAAATACAGTTTTCTCTCCCTTCTGTCATCTGTTCCCTGGTGGCAGTGGAGCCAAAGATGTGAACTTTTATCAACAATTTTATCATCAGCCTATGAATTAGCAAGACTTGTGTTTCTAAAAAGTGCTGAAAAGCCATGAAACTTTCCTCACAGATTGAGCAATCTGCCACACCTTGGTCATGCCCCCCAACTGGCCTATTGTCCCTTTAGCCAAACCTGTTTGATATCCATGTAATGGTTGCACGTTTTTCACTGATACAACTCAATGGCTAACACTAGGATGCTGGCCCCAGACCTTAACCCCTTCTTTCCCAATAGGGAGTCTGAGATTTGGTGTTGGCCTAAAGACCAGTCTTAGTTGGATCTGGCTTCATCTTTGATATTGGGTAAAGCAGTATGCTATTCTCCTTTTAGACTATGAACTAGATGGGCCCTGTGCTTAAATCTGGGGACTGTGAGTTTGTTTAGAGTGAGGTTTTATATTACTTCCAAGATTCTATAAGCAGTAGAAATCAAGGATGGTTTTTATAAATCAAATACGAGTATTTATATCTTTATTATCATGGCTTGTCTGTTCCTGATAGAAGAGTTTCAACAGGGTTAACTCATAGGTATGAAAACTTCTCAAGATAGACACCCAAGTCCTAGCTGCACGAAGTGTGTTTATGAATGAGGTAAGCTCAAGGTCCTCCTTGTCTTTTGTTTCCAAATGCTCCTAATCGGGTGATCCAGGTAACATAGTAGAGAGAATTGTGGTCCACTGCGGCAACAACCAGGACTTCCAGGATTGGCTGGAGCATCTGCACAGGCTGATCAGAGGACCTGCCTCTTGCAGTTCATTATCGAAAACATCATCATCATCTTGTAGTGCTCACTCCGTAAGTAGCGTGTCTGTCCTGTCCAGGGATTATTGAGTCTCTTGTCAAATCCTGCCTACTGAGGACTTACAAGAGTGTTGAGCATGCCCTTAGCCTTTGGATAGTTTGGATTTGTAGGATTAGAAGTACAGTCAAACCTCATTAATTCTGCTTTCTTGTTATGGGGGAGGCGCATCCCAATTAACACAGAGTTTGAGATATGCAGCTTTGTTTGACAGTTATTAAGGTACTCCAGCTGAACTGCTAGCAAAGTTTTTCTAACCAGAAGTCCTGCTAAGATGTTTTAGTGATAAACAGGATTTATTTTACTTAGCAACTGTTATGCTCATCAATGCTTCAGCTCCAATCCTTTGGCCACCTGATGCGCTGAGCTGACTCATTGGGAAAGAGTCAGCTGATGCTGAGAAAGATTGAAGGCAAAAAGAGAAGGGGGTGGCAGAAGATGAGATGGTTAGATAACATCACTGACTCAATGGACATGAATCTGCACAAACTCTGGGAGATAGCAGAGGACAGAGAAGCCTGGGGTGCTTCAATCCATGGGGTCAGAAAGAGTCAGACACGACTTAGCAACTGAACAACAGCGTGCTTGTATTAATAATATGCTAAGGCAAAAGAGATAGTTTACTTTCTTAAATACTTAAACATCTCCATGCAATCTCATTTATGCTATCACATTTCTTCATTAACCTTTAAGGGTAAACTTTGAAAGCTGCCTCCTTCTGCTTTATCACAGAGTTCACGGAATTTGAATTGATGAGATTTTACTGTACTTGCTGAGTGAGACTGAAGATGTGCTGTGTTGTCTGTTAACATTCAAACTTGTGATGCCCAAATTCCAGTTTTGAGCATAGTGTGTTGTGAGAATAAAAGGGGTTTTTGGCATCAGATCTGGGTTCAAATCTTGACTTTGCCAATTGCTGACTGGTTACTTGGCTTTGCTAAAGTTTGCCTTAAGTTTTTCTGATGAAAATAACCTAGGTAAGCACCTAATTGAGTGCCAAACACATGACTGATCTCATTAAATGTTGACTGTTATTCCACTTTCCTCCCTTTCAGGGGAAAAAGAACATCTGACTTGAATGAAATCGCAGGACAGAGGGAGGGTGGGCTCATGGGATGTGGAGTCAGAGTTGTGCTATTCCTTTGAGGCCCCAAGTCTTGACTGGAAAATGCCAGTCCTCCGACTGGAGACTTGTTTTCCCATCTTTTCCTTTCTGGGCCTGGCTTTTCAGATCCAACCAAGCTATTGTTGTTCTCTCACTGTGTGGCCCAGGATTGGGGTCATATGGCCAATTGCTACCATCTCATCAGACATTTTCCCAGTCTTTTAGCTCTACTGGACAGCCCCGAGGACCCTTGGAGCCTCCTCAAATTATAAAACCGTGGAGCTTAAGTTGTCTACGACCTGCACCTCCACTTAGACCATCAGCAGCACTAGGTTATAAAGAGGTAATTTTGCTACATATGGTATAAAATGCTTCTGACAAGCTGATTTTGTAGCTTATTAGAAACAGTTCTGTGGGGATGTGCTAGAATTGATGGTAGGTGATACAGTCAGTCAGTCTTGAGTTGCCAGACTCAGTGATTTTTTTTTTATTTCTCAATTTTTCATTTCCCCATTGTCCATCTACACATATGTCTTAAATACCCACAGGCTTTCCGTGTACTGCCTGAGTTTCTCTGGTCTCCTCCTGAAGGGCCCCTGGTTTGCCTTTATGATGATATGAGAATTCTATAAATTGGTCATAATGTACACACATCTCAAACAAAAGTCACTTCATTAGCTTGGAACTGCTAACCAAACAGACCCAATTCTGCATTTTGAATCATTTTGATCTATGAAACCAAATCAGTAAAAGTTTTATGGGACCAAACCCTGGGTCTGAACTATGAAAGTCTGAATTATTTGCTGCAGTTGGAAAGAAAGAATTTAATGAAAGGAGTGTCTTTAAAAAAAGAGGCTTCTAAGCAACAAGCCTAGAGGACATTTGATATTTGGGTAGAATGGGTATTTCAAGGTTTTTTTTTTTCTTGTCTCGAAGTTGCAGTCAGGAAATGCCAGTCACTATCTTCTGAAACTGTGTGGAGTGTTACCTTTTCCATCCAAACTTTTTTTTCCCCCTAGCATGGTTCTCATCATTCCAGCTTTCAGAAAAGATCCTCATTTATTAGTAACTGTTCTTTAAATAGGTCTTACTGCATGAAGATTTAAGTTCGTGACAGTTATGAGATGTGTCTTAGAATCACGGTGCCAAGGAAGCATATATTTTTGTACCAAATGTGTGTTTTTGATGTGTGACGCAGACTTAGCTCCGTTTTGAGTTTGTTTTGATTTAAAACACCATGCCATTGTTTCACTTGTTGCCTCCAATGCTTAGTGCAGTAAAAGTAGAACTATGTTTGGATACGAGAGGATTTTTTGATCTTTTCAACCTGACATGATAGGAAAATAATCCTTGAGCTGAATCTTTATCATGTACCTCTGTTCAGAATGTGGCCAGAAAACAGCCCCAGAGGTTGGCTTTGGAAATTGATCGGTGATTCCTGCAATCATCCAATTTTCTCCTCTGATTACCTTAACCAGGAGTGCCACTTCATAGTTACCTAAGTCCCCTTTTTAATGATGGATATTTTGTAATTGTCAGTTACTAAATTCAAATTAAGGTGAGCTTTGAAGGGTAAAGTTGACTTAATCCTTCACAGAACTAATCCATTAAAACTAAGGCATGATCACTTTGTTTCTGCTGGGAGAAGTGAGTTATTAATATGTTCTTACTATATAGTGTGTATTTCAGTAATTTTCAGCATTTGTAATTCTGCACAGAACTGTATTCCTTGGGCTTTTGCATGATGATATTGCATCTGAAACTAATGTGGGAAACATGATGATATTCTCTCTGTGTAATTTATGATAACACTAACATTTCAAATGTTGTTTTAGAATTATTGATAAATGGATTTGGTCACTATAACCATCGACCTCTCACGCTCATCTTCTCTTTCTTTACATATTCACTTTAGAGGATGTCTTATATCTTAAAGGTAAGGGTAGAACAATATCTTTGGTGTACAGTGACATCATTTAATGCTGTGCTATAATCTTGATGAATGAAGCTTTCCTTTATGCTTGTTTTGTCCCTTTTTAAAATTGGTAGCTAAAATATGAAGATACATTTCTGACATGTAAGTACTTTCTTCAAAAAAGCAGGCTCTTGGGAAATATGTACAAAAATGAAAAACTCACGCATGACAAAAATAATAGGAAAAATAGAAATAGCATGTAAAATGTCTGTTTTCCATGGGCTTTTTTTTTGCTATTTCTATTTTTCCTGTTATTTTTGTCACATGTGAGTTTTTCATGTCTGTCTGCTTTCTAAGGAAATCACTGAGGCTAACAGGAAGAAATTAAATTCTTTATTGTATTTATTTTTAAGGTAGCAATTGTTATCCATTAATCCTGTATATACATTGCATGGGAGGTTGGAATAAGATGATCGCTGTTTACTTGGACACTTTACGAGCACTTTTTAGACTTTCTGGTTATTCATATGGCAAATCCAACAATTCATATATCTTTTATCTGCTAATTAAAAATATGCCTTGCTTGGCTGTAAGTACATTACGTGTAACTCCAAATTATTTATCAGGAAATGTTTCATTTGGCTATTCTGTCTGAATACAGGAAATGTACTTAGTTTCTCTGCCTTAATTTTCCTGTCTCACAAATGGAAGTTGATATTCTTCTTTGTGGGACTGTTGCTAAGGTGAATTTATTAGTTTTGAAGCTCTTTGAAAAGTGGTCTATACCCCACTAATAGTTATAATTGTTATTTCATTCCCTTAAAACTGTATCAGTGGGGAGTATAAACCCAGTTAGGAGTAGTGTTATTTCTCTAGGAGTGACATCCATTACCATCTCTCCAGATGGTATCCTAAAGGCACTTGGCCTCCCGCATCTGCAGTTGGCCCATGCCATTCTTGGAGCCATTTTTATTGTGTATAGTATTAAATTTTGATCCCTCCTAAGTGAAACTGTAAAAATCAGAGAGCCATTCTACTTAATTTCATTTGCTGTTTTTAATTTGCTTTTTTTTATGGGGGGTGGGTGGGGGGAGAACCCTAATTCATGAAGAAACCTCTACCCTTATAGGAGTCTAGTAAAAGCCCCAAAACGATGAAGAAGTTTCTTCATAAAAGAAAGACCGAAAGAAAACCATCAGAGGAGGAATATGTCATCCGGAAAAGTATGTATGTGTTTTTTATTTTTAGAAAGTTGATTATAGATGAGGAATTTTTTGAAAGCAGAAGAGTCCAGCAGTGCGTTCTCAGCATCATCTTGCCCATAGGGAAGAACGCATGCGAAGGCTTGGCCTCCTTTAAGACATTGGAATAAGCTGTCTCCTGCTGCTTTTCACCTGTATGGTTTTTGTGTTGACTCTTTGGCCTTACCTGGTTTAGAAACACTAAAGGGACCTATTTGCCGTGGATACATTTTTCTGTTCTTAGTTTCTGAATGCCTGAGATATTTGCCTTTACTGAGACTGACTCAATAGACCCGAAGGGAGTTTAATGTTCAGTGATGTTTTTAGTTAGTCAAGGAATCTGCCTGCTGGCATATAGAAATAGGGCTGGATTTAGAGACAGTCTGCAAAGTCGGTCAGCCAGTGGATACATACACATTTGCCTCTGCGGCTAGAAACAAGGCACTCTGGGACACACATGAAGGAGCAAATGATGCTTCCCAAATGGGTGACAGAGCTGTGCGTATCAGTCAGAAATAGTCTGGATAAACCCTTTGCTAGACTTTAGCTTCTGTATCCCCCATCCCCCACCCCACTCCTAGGTCTGTACATGAGCGTGTTAACAGTCACTTCTAGGATGAGTTGGAGGGCCTTGGGGAGGAGAGGGAGAATCAATAACTAGCCTGGCTGGTTGGGAAAAAAATGTGTTGTGTTAGTGATGGAAAGCTTCCTTAGAGAAGGTGAGCCTTGAAATTTGATGGTGAGGAAGGGTGTGGTATATCAGCTAAGAACTGAGGCCAGTGCCAAGCCCAGTGCTGGCCCTGTAGCCTCTGAGACACTTGGGAGACCCTCTAATTTAGTGTTCCGAGTGGCTTCCAGAGCAGACCACTCTCGGTGCTGAACTCACTGGTGCTGACCACAGAGCTCCTCAGGGCTACTGTCACTCTCGCTCCACCATGACAGCTGGTCAGCTTTTCTCTCCCGCCTTGCATGAACACCACTGGTCAAAGAAGCCAGTGCCCAGCACCCGCGTGCATCATTTCGAGGGTCCAGAGGCGTGTATCTCTGAAAAGTCACAATTCATTACATTTGACAGGTACGGCTGCTCTGGAAGAAGATGCTCAGATTCTGAAAGTGATTGAAGCCTACTGTACCAGTGCAAGCTTTCCACAAGGCCATGCCTCAAGTAGGTTCCCCCAGCCACTTTCTCTAATGAGTGATGTTTCTTCGCTACTGCTCACTGCCTCTTGGAAAAAGAGCAAAGCAACCCAGATGGGCTGCAGGGTGTGGAAAGCAGGTGACTTGCAGCAGAGGAGTGGGTACAAGGCTGCATCTTTCAGATAAGCTGATTTTAGCTACCAAGCAGTTTGTTTACCCACTGTTTCTTTTCACCCAGAGAGAAAGAGAGATGCAAGAATAAAAAAAAGTTGGAGGTGATAGAAATGAAAAAAAAATTTTTTTAAAGCCAATTTCCTTTGAAGTACACAGATACCTTCACCAACACTAGTTAGGAATTAAAGAGCCCAAAGGGTTCCTGTGTCTGTGAACTGATGCTAATCTCTTCTTATAGGCAGATTTGGAAAGGAAGTCAAAATATTATCTTTGATCAGCTGCATATTTAAGCAAACAGAGCTTCACCAAGCTCAAGTTTCAGAGTTGCTCTGAAAATCTGGAAATGTAGCTGCTTAGCTGGGCCTGTTGAGAGTGTCTACAATTTATCAGGGACCTATTAGCTGAGGGTATTTCCCCCAGCCACTTTCAGGCTACAGACTGAAAGTGAGATGATGTTTTCTGATTCTTCCTTGTGCTTTAATAAAAGACATGTCACATGGCTCATGTCCTTGGCCTTTCATTATTAGAGACATTAAGGATACCTGGTGTGAGGGTCTTGCCTCTGCGGAAGACATGAACTCTCCCTAAGGCTCCACTGGGACAGCCACTGAGCCCATGCTTGAGCGTGGGCAGGGCTTCCTTGGTGAACCACCCTGAGGGGTACTGTCAAAGTGACATGTCTCTAAGGGCATCATGGGAAAAGCATTCTATGTGGACATTGATACATTTTACTTTGAAGGGGAGACTGTCACACCTTGTACTTCTCAGACCCAACCTGGCTGCAACCCTGGGCATGCCTAGCCCTAATAACAAGATTCCAGGAGCCAGAAAAGGCAAGTAAGAGCAGTTTTTATTGTATAAACCAGGAAAGAGAGGGACACAAGGAGACACTAGAAGCAGCAGTCCTCCTGTGATATCTGACCTCACCTCCTGCCTCCTCCTGTCTTCAGTGTGATAGAGACAGGAAATTTGCTCAGAGGTGCAGGCAGGCATTCTGGCCTCCAGAGTCACATTGTCCGCCCTCCTCCCTGGCTTCCCTTTTATGTGTGGAAAGTGTCTAGCACAGTGCTTGGCACGCAGTAAGCCATTTAGCATCATGGTGTCATGGCGACCAACACCATACATCCCTCTCCAGCCAAAAGTCCTGCTCCCCTAAAACTGATCCCTACTGTTTCTTGCTTCATCCAGTTGGTTGGTCAGTCAGCCAGTCTGCTACCCACTTATTAAGCACATACGAAGTCTTGGGCCCTGTAGAAGACAGAGACACATCTGCTTCGAGAAAGGTGTGGAGATTGAGTGAAGGCAGTGAGTGTTCAGAAATTGAAGGGAATTGGCTTAGAAGAGAGGAAGCCAGTGGCTCAAGGAGACAGAAGATTAAGGGATCTAGCTTTCAGAGGAAGGATCCAGAAGGGAGGCAGAGGTTGGAGGTGCAGGAGAGCTGTCTGGTCAGGTCCCATGGCTGCTCTGTCACCTTTTCCATCCCAGAGCCAGGAGATGGTGAGCAGACAGTGGTCAGGACGCCTGCATCTTTGCAGCTGTTGTGATCATCTCCCCACCCCCCACTCTACCCTTGATCAAAATGGTCTCCACTGACTCTACCTCACCCTGTAAGATGGTAAAGAGAACAAATGGGGGTGAATGATGCTTCTGAAGACCTTTTAAGCATGTTGCATCCCCATGTAGTGCTATGTTCTGCATGATTTTTACTAAAATACAAAACACACAGAGATGGGCAGGGAAGGATGGTTGCTGGCCAGCTCTTTGCTTTGGAGGAGGCAGAACAGGAAAGGAGGGGCCCTTGGTTGAGGACAGTCTCACAGCAGCCTTTTCACATTGTTTCTGAATACAAAATGTGCCCCCACCCCCAGGGTTGAAACAATGTATTCAGCCATTTTGAATTCCTCATGTCTGAAAGATTTCGTCAGAAAACGTGACTGCTTTTGGGGTGCCCGTCAGCCAGATGCCGTCAACAGAGACCCCTCAAAACAATCGTAGAAAGGAACAAACCCCCAATAGTCTCCTCTAGTAATCCCCCTCCCCTGCCTCTCGCTACCCTTGTTTGTAGGTGCGCGCAAAGATTCCATTCCCCAAGTCTTACTCCCCGAGGAGGAGAAACTCATCGTTGAAGAAACCAGAAGCAACGGCCAGACCATCATTGAAGAAAAGTGAGTAGAGCTGGCTAAACCTTTTCTGATATTTCTAGGGGCTGAAAAGAAGGTTCCGGCACACCAAGCCTGCACTGAAGGGTAGACCCTCCTCATCAGAGAATGAGGCCCTCTTGGTTGATGGTACAGTTGGGAGCCCAGGGAGGGCTGCTCCCACAACAAAGAGAAGGAGAAAGGAGAGGCAGAGGGGGCAGCCAGCTCCCCGGACAGGAAGGAACTTCAGAGTACAAAGGAATACCGCTCCAGATGGGTTTGGGAGGCATTGGGAAGGCCACAGCGCCAATTCCCCTGCTCATGGCAATGCCCCTCGCATTTATGGACTCAGGCACTGGACTTTCAATACTTGACCTCATTTAAACTCCTACAGCAATCCAATGAGATACATTGCTTTCACCACCATTACAGATGAGGAAATTGTGATTCAAGAAAGTTATGTCCTTGACCTACCTTTGCACAGTAATGAGGGTGACCTACCAGGGGAAAATCAGGTTAAGTACTTGTTTAAACTTGAGTCATTTCTGAAGTCAGGCCTAAATTTGCATAGGACAGCTTGTTTCATAGCACTTGGCACCGTCAATATATTTTTCCATCTGGTGTATGAAGTGATACGGCCAAATGGTAAAGCACTTGGGCTCAAGAGAAGAACAGCCCTGGTTCAAGTCCAGATTCTGGTACTTGTTAGCTGTGTGACTTGGGACAAGTTCCTTCCCTTTTCTCTGCCTCAGTTTCCTCATCTATAAACTGGATGTGATAATAATACTTTCAGGGTTGCTGTGAGGTTAAATGGAATAAGTACAAAGGCTAGCACATGATAATCACTCAATAAATGATGATCATATAGTAATAGTTATTTACTTAATAGTAATAGTTATTAACTCAATAATAGTAATAATTTAATTACTATCATTATGGCTACATTCACCTGCCCAACGACTTTATGAGGCTTTCAGGGAATGGGTTACTATCCCCATTTTGTATGTGAAGAAAATGAGACCAAGAGAGGGTGATAAGAAAACTGGTTACCCAAGGTTAGAGGACTTGTAAGTTGTAGAATAAGTGGAACTCTGATCTCCAAAGTCCTTGTCCAAGGAGAGAGTGAGAGAGGAAATGACTCTTCTACAACTCAGCCAAGGTGCTTTATCCCTTTTGCAATATATGGAATCTTCCAGAAATAATGCCCTGACTTTGTGTCATGTACGCTGGTGAGAAGGGCAATGTGCTCGTGCAGATATTATAAGCTAGGCAGGATCTGGTGACACCTCTCATTACAGTATGTCAGGTGATGCACCTCCCTTCCCCCAAGAGAGAAATCAGAACCTTACGAGTAGCCCTAGTCTCTTTTTTTTTACTTTTTTCTTTTTAAAAATTGAAGTAGAGTTGACATACAATAATATATAAGTTACAGGTGTACAATATACTAGTCGCTTTTTCCGTACTCACCCGAGCTGGGAAGTGAGCAGTGGAGGAGAGAAGTAATAGAAAAAGTGTAGTGACTCGGCATTGGAATGAGCTAGTGTGATGGTGGTTGTTAGCCCATGAAAATGAGGGACACAAGGGCCATTCATAGCAGTATCTCTCCCCATCCTCCAGAAAGGTCACTGGTTTTCAGAAACTGTATTTCTATAAAGCTGCTTTTCTTCTTAATACTTTGATGCCAACTATTAATCTCTGAACTTTATGTTCTAGGAGCCTTGTTGATACTGTTTATGCCTTGAAGGATGAGGTCAAAGAGCTGAAACAGGTAATGAAATTTCTCAGATCCTAACAGGCCTGCTCCCTCTTCCCTGCCACGCATGGATAAACACCCTCAGGAGAAAGCCAGGACCAAGGTGGTGAGGTGGGGATTCTTATTTTCCTTGTGTCATCCAGGTGGGCTTTGTAGATTTTACCATGTGGCCTTGGATTTCAATTTCTGAGGCTTGCTTATATACCTATTTAGCATTTAAAATAGGGTCCCAAACTTATTTGCAACTTTCATGTTCCCTGACATTTGCAAACAGAATTTAAGAAAAGATAAGTCATTCATGAGCAAGTGTAAATAGAACCATAAGTCATGAATTGTGGGTTCGTCTGTCACTCTTCCTTGAGTTTGAGGACTGCCTGTATTTGGTGATGGGGTAAAGGATGGATCGTAGGGAGAGAGACCAGAAGCTAGAAGATCACTTAGGAGGCTATTACAGAACTCAGGGTGAGACATGATGAAGTCCTGAGCTAAGGAGAGAGAGCTGCTGAGGCTGCAGAGGAGGGACATGGAAGTAAAGGAGGTATATCACCGAGTTAGAGTCTGTGGAAAATGGTGCTGTGATGTGGGAATTAAGAAAGACCCAGAGGGCTTCCCTGGTGGCTCAGTGGTAAAGAGTCCACCTGCCAATGCAGGAGACACGGGTTTGATCCCTGGCCCAGGAAGATCCCACATGCCCCAGCGTAGCTAGGCCTGGGCACCACAGCTATTGAGCCTGCGCTGTAGAGCCCACGTGCCGCAGCTACTGAAGCCCGCACGCCTAGAGCCCATGCTCTGCAACAAAGGAAGCCACTGCAATGAGAAACCTGTGCACCACAACTGGAGAGTGGCCCCTACTCTCCAAAACTAGAGTAAAGCCCGTGTAGCAATGAAGACTCAGCACAGCCAAAAATAAATAAATAAATAAAATTATTTAAAAAAAAAGAGAGAGAGAGAGAAAGAGCCAGAGATGGAAGATGAAACTTTTTCGTCTGGGTATGTACTTTGATATGGTGGTGCCCTTCATGAAAATCAGAAACTACAGGAGGAAGAGATGTTTGGGTGATGGGGGAGATACTGGGTTCACTTTAGAACATAATGAACTTGAGGGCCTTATAACAAGTGCAGGCGGAAATATCATGTTGGCCCTGGGGGCTGTGGACCTGGTGCTCCTGAGCTGAGATGAGGTCAGTGCCAGAGAGAATTGGGGTGGCCTCTTCATAGATACTTGAATTGAAAGAAAAGAAACAGTAAGCGAAAAGAGTGAGTCAGAAGAGGGCCCAGGCCAGAGCCCTAGAGAATGCTTGTCTTAATATTTCAGGGGTTGGTCAGCAAGAAGTAGAACAATCCAGAAGCTGCTGAGGGAGAGGAGTTTGAGGAGGGAGAGTGTCCTCAGTGGTGAAGGCTGCTAAGAGGTTGAGTTTGAGGAGCCCTGTGGCAGGGACTGTTTGTTTGGTAACCAATCAGCCTTTTCCCATCATAGGAGAATAAAAGAATGAAGCAGTGCCTGGAGGAAGAGTTGAAATCAAGAAGGGACCTAGAGAAGCTGGTCCGGAGGCTGTTGAAGCAAACTGATGAGTGTATTCGGGCCGAGTCCAGTAGCAAGACCTCCATTCTCCCATAACCATCACTGTGCGGCTGGCAGAGGGTGCCTGTAGGGTGTCGGGAAATGTCCAGCTGAGTGATCTGACTCAGTTTGCTCACTTCTCTGGTTTTTATTTCATTTCTTAGTCTCTGTGTGTGTCTGTGTGTGTCTGTGTCTGTGTGTGTGTGTGCTTGGACGAGTGTTTGTGGTTGTTTGGTTATTGGTTGGTTGTTTATTTTTTTGACAGGAGTAAAAAAGCAAGAGGGGGTGGGAGAAGTCTCCCCAGAGTCTTTTCCAATAGTAAGCAAAGGGAAGCTATTGTAGGCAGATGACTCACAGGGCCTTCAGATGGCCTTCAACTCATAGTGCCTCTTTACCAGCCATTATCCTTGGGTCACTCTTGTTGGGCTGGCTGCTCTCCCCAAGTGGCTGGCCACGGCTTATTAAATGTGAACTTGACTTTGCCCCTAATGCTTCCCTCTACCTGGCAGTCCCTCAGTACCTAATTTACTGAAGGCAACATTTCTGGAACTCTGACTGGGGAAGGTGAAAGGCAAATATGTTTGCCCAGTGATCCAGCTGCCCTTCCCTGACCCAGCCTGTGCCACCCTCAATACCCACTTTTTAAAATGACTACCCTGTGTTGTCTATAAGACCAAGAAAACTGTAGCACCCTTCCTCCTTTCGTGTTGGTTTATGTTTCCATTCTGTGGGGCAGAAGCTCTGGTCACCCACGCCAACACCAAATCCATTAGCAGCCTGCACTGGAGTGTCTTCCCCTCAGTAGCCGACTTGCCCATCTCTTGCCAGTGCATGCTAGGTTTTGTCCCTGGCCTTCTGCCTTGTGTAGAAGTTTTCTATTTCCCCAGTGCTTTAAGCCAACCATCCCAATTGGTGTGTAAATTGGTTTGTGTGTGCTTTTGCTTTTTTAAAATGTAAACTGTGAGCAGTTCCTTTTATCTATGTCACATATTCAAGTTGCAACTTCTCATCCTTCAGTCTACACTGAGGTGATGTGGCGCCCTAGCAGACAGCTTTAATTCCCTTGATTGTCCTCCCATATATGCTGTGAGATGCTGTAATAATCATCAGCCTCTTTGAGTAGGACTCTAAGCATGATTTGCAGATATGTGCTGTTGGGCCTGTTTATACAGCTGAAAGGAAAGGGCCCCTCTAGTAGCTGTGTGCTGGTTCCTAGCAAAGCTGATTATTTGGAACTGGTTTACTCAAGTTGTTCATCGAGTCAAACCCTTGCTGAGGGTTTCTAATATCTGAGAAATTAGAACTGTGATAAACCGGGTGTAGAAGACGGTCATGGCAGGGCAGCACACATCCAAATCCAGCACAGCTGAAGTTGCACCCTGCCCCTGTCTCTCCCCAAAAGAGGCAATTTGGCCAGATGGGGGAGATCGCTGGAAAGAGAGGTCAAGGACCAATGGACAGATCAAAGTTGTCTCCCAGATACATTCAGTAGGTACTTATAACTGGGTTTTGCACTTGTTGTTTAGAAACCAAACTTGAACTCCCCAGCTTGCTAAGCCCTTTTCCTTTTTAGTACGGGGTAGGGGGGGGTCTCAACTCCCATAGCTACCTGTTATGGGGCTGTTGACTGCTTGCCACACAGCAGAAATTACATCATCCACAGGAAATGGACTTTTCCTGCAGACCAATCTCAGCCAACCACACACAGCTGTCTTTGGAAGCTGAAGCCCGAAGAAGACTTCTTGGAATGGCTGTGTTCTGTTTTTAGCCCAATGATTTAGACATGCCATCCTTCACTTCCAGATGAAAAACAATAACAACACAGATCGTAGCACCTGCCCTGTCTGTGGTTAGTCAATGGCTTGCAATAAATGTGCAAACTATATCTGTAGGAAACATTTTTTGTGATTACAAATACTTTAGTTGATAAGGTATATAGGATTGCTTAAAATATTGAAAGGTCTTTATTTTAAAGTGACGTGTCTATATGCATGTTTTGGGGGTGTGGCCCTTCTGATGAGAGGCCCTGGGTATTCTGGGTAATGTAGCTTTTGCAGAGTGGTGTCCACGCTCACACTCAATAATCCTATACAGGAAATGAAGCCATGTTAACCTGACAGCAGTGTCTCCATAGTTGTGTTGTTTACAATACTCTATAAATGGGTCCCTGTTACCCTGTAGTTAAACTGCTACCCTTCGAGGCCTTTCAGTTCCTCTTCTGTCGTGTCCCTTCTTACACAAGCTCAAATTTTCTAACTTGTTTTTATTTTGAAGACTTTTAAAATGGACATTTTCAATAAATAAGAATAACAATGCTTTATAAAATAAGTCCTGTGTTTCTTCTTCTTTTTCTTTTCTTTCTTTATTATTTTTTTTTTTTTTTGCTAACTGGTGTGTGGAAAGATTTCTCATACTGTGTCAGCTTCCTTTCCTGTTTCCCTCATTAGTTATCCATGCTCATCAGGCCCCTGAACTAGCTTCTATCTTTTTCACTCAGGGCAGATGATATTTGTTCCCCACTTTACAGAGATAATATGTCTCTTGAGGGAGAATGTCCCTTAACTTAATCACCCCTCTCCTCCTGGCCCCAAACCAGAAACTGTCTGTACCTCTGCTTGCCATTTTTCTTCAACATTAAAGATAGAGATATTCACTTTCCTCTTCAAACTTATCCCTTGAGAGATATTCATTTTCCTCTTCAAACTTATCCCTTGATCTTCAGTCTTGTTTCCATCTCTCTGTATATTTAGCAGGATTTTGCCAATTTTGCTCTATTTTGACCACATTTGGAATGCTGGTTTCAGCGGTCAGGGTGAAAATATTTGCTTCCAAACAAGATGGCTGCACTGGGTATTATTGGTTGCTACTCAGCATCCATTCCTCTTCCTACCTTACCCCAAGGCTAAAAAATAACTATCTCAGACTCCCTTGCAGCTAGGATTCTGGATACAATGTGGGTTCTGATACATTTTCAGTTCTGCCAATGAGATGCCTTTGCACAAGGTTGAAAGGCTTCAGTTAGGCAGAGGCTCTCTTCCCAGGGCTTGGTGGCTGACATGGAAATCCAAAGACACATTTGTGGCTTCTGTACTACATTCTGTACTCACAGCTTTGTGGATGACAGACTCTAGCAGCAGCCGTATCTCCTGGAACTGGATTTGGATCATCACCACTGTGCTATGACCTTGACAGCCATTAGTCTAATGGAAGCCCCCTGGCTTCCACTTCTGTAGTCATCAATTTTGTAGACACCTGATACTACTCTGCTTGAGATCGCTTCAGTGGTTTGTTTCCTACTCTGAAGCAATAGCTATAACACTGCACCTCCTGTGTGCTAGGCTCAGCACTGTTTTACATGGTTAAATTCCTGTAACCCTCAAAACAACCCTATTAGGTATTCACTATTGATATCCCCATCTTACAAGTGAAGAAAGGTACAGTGATTGAACAATATGCTAGTGTGTGTGGAGCAGGGATTTGAAACCCTGGTCTGTCTGCCTCTTGGATCCATGTTCTTTCTACTGCATTGCCTCTTCTACACATGACACTTGCCAAGTTGGCCTCTACCTTGGCCATCTACTCTCCTGAAGTCACTGATGAGCTCTTATTGACAAATGCAGGGAGGACTTTTCAATATTCATCCTGACCTCTCTTCAGTATCTGACCCTTTGTTATGCAGTTGCTAAATTGTCTCAACTCTTTGTGACCCTGTGAACTGCAGCTTGCCAAGCTTCCCTATCCTTCATTATCTCCTGGAGTGTGCTCACACTCATGTCCATTGAGTCAGTGATTCTGTCTAACCACCTCATCCTCTGTCATCCCCTTCTCCTGCCTTCAATCTTTCCCAGCATCAGACTCTTTTCCAGTGAGTCAGCCCTTCACATCAGGTGGCCAAAGTATTGGAGCTTCAGCTTCAGCATCAGTCCTTCCAATGAATATGCAGGGTTGATTTCCTTTAGGGTTGACTGGTTGGATCTCCTTGCAGTCCAAGGGGCTTTCAAGAGTCTTCACCAGCACCACAATTCAAAAGCATCAATTCTTTGGCGCTCAGCCTTCTTTATGGTCCAACTCTCACATCCGTACCTGAGTACTGGAAAAACCATAGCTTTCACTATATTGACCTTTGTCCCTTGCCTCCTTGTTAAATCTCTACTTCCTTGGCTTTCATGATCCCAACTTTCCTGGCATTCATTCAGTCTTTCTGACCACCCCACAGTCTCCTTTGCTGGATCTGCATCCTGCCTGCCCCATGAATGTTGCTGATCCTTAATGCTCTTTTCCTCTTCTCTTTCTTTCTATTGCCTCTTCCTGGACAATCTTGTCTATTCCTATAACTTCATTTATCAAAGTACAGATGACTCCCTTGTCCATATTTTTCTATCCCGACCTTTCTCCTGAGCTCCAGACCCGTGGAGGCAGCTACCTTGTGGACATTTCAGTTTGGATGTCCTACAGCACCTCAGAGTCAGTGTGTCCCAAACTGGACCCCTCATTTGTAGCCCCAGATCTGCTCTTCCAGTGTTTCCTATCCCAATAAATGGCATCCCTGGCCACTTAGTTGCCCCAACCAGAAAAATAGGCATTATCCTTCTTTCCTTTCTCTCCCTCAACCCTGTATAAACGTATACATTAACCCTTTATACATATAGTCATCAAGTCTTAACATTTTTAACTCTGCAGTAGCCCCTGAATTTCTCTCCATCCTCCATTGCCCATTTCTGGTGCTTGTCATCTCTCCCTCAGATTCATGCATCTCTTTGCCTCTTGTAGTCTGGCCTCTTTGGTGCTAGTAGAATGATTATCTAAAAGATCTGACTATATCACTGACCTGTTTAAAAATGTGGTGTCTTGCTACTACCACACTCAGTAAATTTTGATCTCCTTGAATTTCTCTTAAGTCCCAAATATGCCATTTGTCCTGTCTAGAATCCATTTCCCATCCCTGTACATCAAACAACTTCTTTCTTTTTCCATTTAGACTCAGGTCAAGTATCTGTATGAACTCATGATCTCCAAAACACATGTGCATATATATCTCTGCATGTATATGTGTCCAT